TTTCATCAATTGATCCTGTTGAAGTTGCGCCTGAGCTTGTTGAGCTTTGATAAATTCAGTGATAGTTTTCTGGAACTGTTCTGACATGTTTATCAACTCTGTTGGGTTCTTTCAATGATTCTCGTCGCCACTTTTATGATGCTCAATGAACTTATGGAACTCTCGAAGGAAAAACAGATTATATTTCATAAAACATGAAATAGTTATTTATTATACAAGGGAAAAAAGTAGTAGATTTTAGCTCCAGGTTGTGTTGTATCCCGACGCGTAGCGGAGGGAGACAACAAACCGTGAGCTGAAATCTAATATTTTTCCCGTGTATAATACACTATTTTTTTCTGTGACAGAAGAAAGGACGAATCAATATTGAGAGATATTACATTATTTCGAAATCTGAAAATTATCGACGTGAAATTTCAAGTTTTTAACAGTAGGGACACCGCGTTGTAGGCATCTTTATTATTCATTTGAAGTAATCAAATATCTGATGTCACTTCTGTCAGTCTAATTCTGTGATTTGATTTCAAGAAATTGCGAATTCAGTGGTTATTCAGTATTATAGGTAACCGCGAAGTCGAATGGAAGATAAAAGGACTTCAGTTCTTTCTCGGAGACGGTATTATTGACTCATTTCTCGAAACTATAGCACAACAAAAACCATCAACAGTGTATATATATGTGATATATATCCGGGAAAAAAGTACTCACTTTTTGCCCACGGGAAAAAAGTAATTTATGAAAAGTGACATTTTATAACCTGCCAACAGGGATGAAATGCCAAACTTTTTTCCCGTCACAGAAAAAACTATATATTCCAAATTATTTATTATCTCATTCAACTGTTTGCTATGTCAACCGTTGATATGAACTATTCTACATCCAATGTTGTACAGGGTCTTAGGTACTGCCAACACCATGAAACCTGAATCACCCTGTATATTAAAGTTACACCGAGAGTTACACAGTTCAATACCTGTTCAATAATTATCACCGCATCATTGAAAAAAGGTTTATCTTGCATTTCACAGTTATTCTGATATCGATGCAGATCGTTTTTTCTTACTAACTTTTTTCTCATAGCTATCCTAAAAAGTATAACTACATGTTTTTATAGTGTATGATGAATTGATATCCATCGTACAGATCGTGAAATTCTGAATTGAGGAAACCCAATCACGATTCTGTGATTAGAGGTCTGTAAAAACCATTAGATATAATTCAATGTTCGTCGTGGAATAGTTAGGAAAGTAACTGTTTTCTGTTGAATATAACGAGAAATAATTCATATTTTAACAGATAGAGCATGCAAAATTCTCAATGGATTTCTTAATATGTACCAATTTATTTGCCTTCATGATACATACAATATTCCTTTTCACTTAATAACTACATATTCGCAGCTTCAATATCGGCGCAGGTAGAACATTATAAAATCGGAAATCATCTAAATAATTTCGTGATTTATTCAGTTTGAAGTGATACGAGATCACTGTAATATTAAATTTTTCAAACTATCTATAGATCTATAGATTCCACATGTAGAAGTTTCGGTAGCCCTCAAGATGTTGTAGATCAATACCGAATAGTCAGCATATTTGTATGATGTGAAAGGCATTTTTCACAAGAGGCTTATCAAATCTCTAAACATCTATCATCTCTCATCATTAATCGTCGCTAAGTAATTCTTTTTGTCTCTTGATTTTGTCAAATCTTGTCTTTCAGCATCTACTGTGTGTTCAAATTCTCACACGATCTAGTCCTTAGAGCCATCTAATGGCAAAAGTGCAAAGGTGTATAAGGTGTATACACGGAAAAAAGGAATTGTTGAATCAAGCAGAAGTTAATTGAATGAAGCAAATAAAAGTGTCATATATGCACGATAATCTTGAATTAAGTAAATATGTCTTGTATGAACTCTGGATCTTATTCAATCAAGCACATCCATGAATTATTGTTTATGAAGAGATATTGAATTGGCTCGAACATTTTGTTTGATTCAAAATAACAAGATACTGATTCAATTAAAAATTCAGTTGATACAATGAAATATTTGGTTGATTCGAAGGAATAATTGGTTGATTCAATGAATTATTTGGTTGATTCAATGAAATATTTAGTTAATTCAATGGAATATTTTGTTGATAATAATAATAATAATAATAAGTAAGTTTATTAACCACTGTGCAATAAAACAATAATAACAAAAATAACTAGATTATCTACAAGAAATATACAAATCTTCAGATTCACACTCGGTAAACAAACTTCAAAGACCCACAAAGGCGAACCTTGAATGTGGGTATATGGAGCATGAAGCATAGTGTTGAAAAAAGCCAATATAACAGTGAATAAATACAATAAACTTATAATAAGGACCTATAGAAATATGCTACTCGCAGCATGTATGGTTTACATAGTGCAATAAATATAATGCAATATATATGTATATGTATATAGATATATAACTCAATATCACAAGAGTAAGGGAATATATAATGTCAAATAGTGCTGTCATAGGTTGTTCTTTCTGTTGATTAATTGATGAATTCTTGCTCTTGGTGTATTTAGAATCCATTCTTTAAGATTTTTTTTGAATGATCTAATGAAGTTATTCTCCCTCAAGTAGAACGGAATCTCAGCATAGAGGACAGGACAAAGATAAGTAAAACATCTTTGAGAGACCGTTTTTCTGGTTTTGGGAATAAGTGTTGATTTTGATTTATACCGGGTATTATGTCTATGAAAAATTTGTTGAGCCTTATGTTTGAATTTGTGATGTCTTATCATTAAGGACTGAAAGTAAAGTTGTCTAATATCTAAGACTTGCACTTCTTCAAAAAGTTGTTTGCTAGGGTGCCTGTATGGTTTTTTGAAAATTATTTTTAGCAGCCATTTTTGGGTGACTTCCAATTTCTTCAGATGATTATTTTGTATTCCTCCCCACGTGAGTATACCATAAGTGATGTGTGTTTGTACTAGAGAGGAATATAGTATTTTCAGAAATCTCATATCAAATATTTTTCTGTAAAATATGAAGTCCTCTAATCTTTTTTGTCACGAATGCAGCATGATGATCCCATCTCAGATGACAATCAATGATTATACCTAGATATTTAGTTTTATTTTCCATCGATATAGCAATTGTTTTGTTATGAGAGATGGTGAAATGTAATCTCTCAAATTCAGGCATCGTATTTACTGTGCTACAAAAGGGAACTATTACTGTTTTTTTGAAATTGACGCTGAGTAACATGGAATTGAACCAATTTATTACATTAATGAAATCATATTCCACTAGAGTTTTCAACTCTTCCCAAGAGGAATTTTTGTAAAAGATAACCGTATCGTCAGCAAAGCTGACAATTTCGCCTTGGATCTCGAGACTAAACAATTGATTGAGATATATGTTAAAGAGAAGTGGACCTAGTACTGTACCTTGAGGTACTCCATATTTTACTATGTGTTCACTACTCAATGAATCTCCAATTCTCACCGACTGTTTCCTGTTTGACAAATAGCTTGATAGTAATTCAAATGCTTTACCTCGAATTCCAATATTCTCCAGTAGTCGTAGCAATTTTTCATGAGAAACAGTGTCGAAAGCTTTTGCCAGATCAACGAAGATACATAAGGATCGATTACCTTCATCCATTGCTTGATATATTTTTGAAATTATGTGTGCCATTGCATCTTCGGTTGATCTGGCTTCTCTGAATCCATACTGGTTTTCGAACAAGATATTATACCTTTCAAGGTAGGAGGTTATTCTTCTTTTTATAATTTTTTCGAATATTTTTCCGATATTGGTTATTAGGGAAATCGGTCTATAGTTGATGAGTTCTAGTTTATCACCACTTTTGAAAATGGGTTTTATATGGGCTTTTTTCAGTGTTTCTGGAAATGTACCTGTAATGATTGATCTATTTACCATATACGCCAAGGGTTTTTTAATAAATTGAACATTGTCTAATAGAATAATGATATTGAGGTAATCATTCGCAAAATCATCAAGGTCTCTTTTTGTATCAGTTTCAATTATGTTGATGTTAATGTCTCCTACTAGTATTTTGATATCGTGATATTCTCTGTTGATTTGTTCTAAATAGTTATTGAGATTTGTATTGAATGTGTGGGGGCAAGTCGAAGGGGATCTATATATTGCAGTTAAAAGTATATCTTATATATCTGATTCGATGAAATATTTCGTTGATTCAAGAGAAACTGTATTTCCATTCGACAAATTGTTCTGCTGCACCAAATTCAGTATCAATTCGGGAATTTTCTGGAATTTCACATCAATAGAATAAACTAAACTATGAAACTAGTGGACTTCTAGTATAGATCTCCAGTCTTTACTTCTCTTCAACTGATTCAAAACTATTTCGGATTGCTAATCCTCCTAAGTTCGTTGTATCCAGCTGATATTTCAAACTGTACTTCATTCTTCCGAAGCGCGGGTCTTGATTTAGTTGTCTATTAGTCAGGTCGTGCAGTATTTCAAACACGAAGAACCAGGCTCCACGTATAAAATGAATTCGAGGCAGGCATAGACGAGACGAAATGATCGAAATCTGGAGGCAAAAATTCAACTTGATGTAGAATGAACAAAATATTTCATTGATATTACATATTTCGTTGCTCTATTCAAGCAAATGATTCGTTTGAAACGAGTTCATTGCTACATTGGAATAAGAAAACTTGTATGTTGTTTTAAAGATATATTCTCATCAAAATGATCATTATTTGCTGATTCAACAAAAAAATGCTGAGTCCAACAAAAATAATTCAAGCATAAGTAATTTGTTGATGAATTGATTGTTAGCTGGCCTAGTGCAACTGATGAGATTTGGCAAAGCCGAAACAGTCTGTCTTGCACCAGCCGATAATCGATTCACGAAATATCCCTAGAATCTCTTATAGTCTTGAGATTTCAGGTTTCTCTAAAATCCCTCTCCTTCAATTTCCAGCGATGGTGCGGCATCTTGAGCAGATCAAGAAAGAACGCCTGAAGAACGGCGTCCTTCAGAGAGGCGCGGTGACAGGAGGCGGAGCGGGGCCGTTCCCCAAGGCCTCCGATCTCTCTTCCCGACCGGGCCAAGACGCCTACGAGTGCGTCGCACTGCACGTGAGTCCGGACCTGGGAGAGCGGATCATGCTGAGCGGAGACCGATCGCTGCTGGACGAGGTGTTTCCTGATACGAACCAGGCGGTGATGGACACCAGGACGGGAGTCGCGTGGAATCAGCAGGACGCGCATCACGTCATTAGGTTGGTATAATAGTGGTCGAGTTCCGATATTACTGAATATACTGGCAGTGCCGGATTTAGGGGGGGGCTATGGGACTATCAGCCCCTGGCGGTGAATTTCAAGAGGCGGTAGAGAAAAAGAGAAAAGAGGAAAAGCAAGCAGCAATATAGTCTTTGACTGGTTGAGATACTGTTTTAGTGAAAATCATAACATGCACTAATCTAGCGTCAGCTGTGTCTTGGCGTTACCATCGATAATCTCGATGGTAACGGTCTTGGACGCTACAATACAAAAGCGGCGGCGGTACATACTTTTATTTGATGATGAGAAGAAAAACCGCATTCTACTCGTCTAACTCAATAACAAAAAAACAAAATCAGATTGGTTGTCCTTGGTATTGTTGGTAATGGTACTAATAATAAATAAATATTGAAACTTAAATTTAAAAAAATGAGTAAAAAAGGTGGTGCATTCTGGAAACGGCAGAAGATTAATAAACAGAATAATTAGACGAAGTTGTCAAGAAATGCCCTGAAATACATTCATTCTGTCTATGAGACAGTATCAGAACCGATAGAACCGTCTCCGGGAACGATCTCAAGACAGGAATGGTAGAGTCTCAAAAATGGATGATCAGAATATGAACACGACTAAGCGTTGTTTTAGGGATAATCACAACAAATTCATTGCATATTGGCAATTAATGAGAATTTTTTTACTATCCCTGATGATTCGTAATGCCAGTGGTGAAAGGTCATTCTGAACAGAGTGAAAAACTACCTTAGGAATTCCATGGTAGAGGATAATAATATATTGAATATCTTATCAATTTCAAGTATTACCAGTGAGATGTTATTAAATCTGAATTTTGATGATGCCATTGACGACTTTGCATCAAAAAAATCAAGAAAATTATTGTAGTATAAAAAATATGTGTTGTTTGTTGTTATGTTTAACGTGTGAAGTAAATATAATTTGATTCGTTGTACATAATGATTTCATGTTATTGTTATATGCTGTAAAAAAAGCAGTGAAAGGATTATTTGAATTTTGTAACTGACAATTTAAAATTAAATATTTGGCGGCGGCGCGGCGGCATCGTAAAAGTTAGCCCCCGGCGTAAGGGAGTATAAATCCGGCACTGTATACTGGTCACACTCGGTCACAGCAATTCACAGTCAGTAATAACGGAACGATTTGAGTTTTAGTAAACTACTGTTATTTACTGTGGAATAACGGAACGAATATCTATAGCAGTGTTGGTAGGGATATATCGTTGTTTGGCGGCAAGAGGTTCATTCGGATTCCGATTCCAGAACTGATCAAGAATCGTTCTCGAACTGCGTAGAACTAGTGCGCAGTCGTTTCGAATCCTAGGACTGTTTCAGAACGGTTCACAAATTGTGAAAACCCGAACGCGACAGACGAGAACCTCTGAGAACATAACCTCTATTCAGAATTTGCGGAAAATCAATAGTTTGGCACCTGTATCTTTATTAGAATAATATTCTGAAGCTTCAAACTCTCCTTTGTCTCTATTCGCAATATCTCTGGAAGCCCTCTGTGAAGAAATGGTGAATATATTCCATCATAGCATTCATAGCTAGATTGTCCCTTGTACCTACATGAATTTCGACACCCACCTGAAATGTTCAATGAATTGTGTATCTGAATATAATGGCAAAGTCCGCAACATAATCCTCAATTTTTCGGTTCATCTAACAAAAGTTCGAGAATTATCAGATTAGGTACAATGTTTTCAGCAAATTCGGCAAGTAACTCCTTCACCACTGATTGCTGAAGATGAAGATCAACTACTACCAAATAAATGTATCAACTCCATAATATTGAGAAAATATTGAAAAGAGCGATAAACAGTAGAATAATCAAAAATATATCATCATGACATTACGCTACAACAGACAAAATCGAAAACTAAATGAAATGAGCATGCGTCAAAAATAATCCTAGAACGGTCCATGCTCGAGAGCAGGTACTGGTTTCGGATAATTCTAGGACCGTCCCAAGACAATTCTGGAAAAACCCGAACGCGTAAAGAGTCAGTCCTAGAACAGTTTAACAAAACCCGAACGCGACCGATTCTACTCCTGACTCTATATAGAACCGTAATAGTTCGAACCCAAATGAGCCTAAGGTATGTAAATTGGAATAATAAATTCATTTTACTCAAGTTCTATGTATGTATGTATGTACATACCTACTAGTCTAGGGATAATATATGGATGCTCTCGTTCTTGCTGTTACTGCTACATTTTTCGAATCTCCATCTGCTGAATCTGATATTGCTGATGGCATGCAGTAGTTCTAGTAGCAGTGATAATGAAATAGATCAATTCCTATAGTATGTATTGCTGGGATTTATATCTATACCATAAATATGAGAGGTCAGATTATTCCTCGCCCAAGGATATCGAATTTCATCATCCTCTTCAATTTCGAAAATAACCCGAAACATTTTTATAACATCAGACGATCAACTTTTGTTCATTGGATGATTTTAGGTTTGAAATAACATTTTTTTTTATTTTTGTAAAAATCACTATCGATAAACAATCCAACAACAAACAGCACATAAAGAGATTAAAGAGAATAATAATCTTTATAATCTCACTTTCTAGTTTTTCATGAAGGAGAGGGGATATTACTGACGCCACATGACCATTTGATGTCGGTAGCGAACTTTTAATTTCTAGCCTTGCACAGGGTTCATTAACAGAACGCGGGAAAGTGCTGTCAGCAGACAACAGTAATTTCGGAACAATCTAAACTACTGGACACTACTGGTTGGGAATATCGGAACTCGACCAGTATATTGGCGAACATTACTGAATTCTAGGTGGCGTATCGGCACAGTATAGATCCTTACGGAAAACAGTAGTTTCACTACTGTCGGAACGTTTGTTAGTGTCCACAAGTTTTATTTTTTGCCAGACCAGTGCGCATACAACCACGCACAGAGTTGCGCGTTATGGGCGTGGTTGAGCCAATAGAAAGCCAATGACGACTCGCTTGCTCATTTTTCGTCCAAACGACATAGAAAGTTGCTTTCCTATGACCCTTAACAGGCAGCAAAAATGTACTTTCTCTGCCTAGGCAAAAAAGTTTGTTGCTATGCAACGTTCCAAGTAATTTGAATGATATTGGTAATCAAAATCGACACTGACTTTGTATGAACACAAAATGATGGAGTTTTCAATATTGGTTTCATAACTTTTGGAGAGAAAAATTATGTATTCCACATGGCAGCATAGTAGATTGACTGCCGCGACTGATAGTTGTTCATAGCCGAGAGTATAGCGAGGCTATAGGAATTCAGCCTAGTAAAACAAATAACTATTTTCCCCAAAACGCCATAGAAAGTGTTTTTTCTATGACACTCAACAGGCAGCAAATGTATTCCGGAGATGATACTTTTTGAAAAATCATATCATTGAAACATCGGTTTATCAACTCCAGACTTCCGTCATCTCCACATTTCACTGAATAACTAGTGAATTATTATGGCCTCGATTTGAATATGGGTTCCGAGAATGCCAGGCAAAAATTACGTATCTAGAAACAAATCCAGCGAAGCCACCCCTGACTGCCCCTGCTTGACCACCATGAAAATGGCGCCCAACGTGTAACAAATAAATTTTCTTTTTCAGGTTTCCCCTAAACGGTTTCTGCAAACTGAACTCCATGCAAGTGATAACGAGGCTGCTGAACGCTGGCTTCCAGATAGCAGCCAGCAACGGAGGTGGAGTTGAGGGCCAACAATTCTCCGAATACCTTTTCATCAGGAAAGTCTTGCCCGGCTGAAAGCTCAGAGAAAACAGTTTATGTTTCCGTTGAATAATAGGGTTATTGAATTTGAGCCTTATCGTGCTACTGGAACTTTGAAGATTATCACTATGCCTTCGAGTAGAAGGATAATGCAGGTTCTGAAGGCCAAGGTCGATTTCATGGTCATCACAAAACATCACGTGGTAAAATTACGTATCAGATCTTTGACTAATACTTGATAAGTATACTCAGAGGTACAAGATATTGTTTCATTTAGTTGCTTTTTTACTTATCAAAACAGTTTGGCAATGGCCATTCGGAAAGGTATGATGAACTAAATTATTCATGTAATATGAAAACGTGAGATACCTCTAAGGGTTCAGTTATTTCACTCACCTGGAGATGACTTGGAATGTTTGATAAGAAACTTATCATTCCGAATTTCATGGATTGATAGTAGGTCCCATTTCATTTTTTGAACATGCTTTTCAGAGTAGATATTAATCTAGGCAATTATGTTCATGGTTCGTGAATAAAATGTGAGAAGATGCGACAGACTTTTGTCTTTGAAGATCTGTTGAACCCTTTGAAACACTTTAAAATTACATGCTTCTGTAATTTCTGAACCCATTTAGTGATTTAAATGTTTCGACTTACTGACAAGTACTGATATCATAAAGAACCAGAGAGAATAAACATCATGTTGATTTATCTAGGTAAGACCTTTTTCTTCTAGTATTGAGTGATTCACTTCAAATTTCCAGAAAGCTATTGAATAATTTTGATGCAATTTCCAGCTAACTTTTTGTAAATAGTTTTGATTATGATTAGTTATTACTTGTTCATGGGTTGAGCACTTTTTTCGCTGATCTCATTAGATCTAATCGGCTGTGATCCATTTTCGAGCACTGGCACAGAGCTGGAGGATCGACCATTTCACTATTGTAAAATATCTATAATCTTGAAAATAAATCTATACATAACAAATCCATATGCTACCTATTGTTATTTATTCCCAGACCAAAAAACACACGCGTCCACCTACAATATATTATGAAACGAGAGTAATTTTTGCTCTAGATAAAAACTTACAGTTTGCGAATTGTTACGTTATATGGTTCCATCAGAATAGTTATTGAAATATTGGAATCGAAATAAAATGATGAGTCATTTTCACTAGGATTCGATATAATTATACAAATAGGCTGGTAACTGACGAATAAAGTGTTGCTTGATGTTTTGATTTTTTGAAGTCAACTGGCCTAGAATTAACATTCAAATTAAAAATCTGAGGAACTAATTCGTTCAATGATTCAAATGGACCGAGATGGTAGAACCTGTAATTGTCTTTTCCTACGACTACTACTGTAAGTGATGGATATTGTACACAAAACAATGGCAGTGAGCTTCTCCTTACACACGTGTGCGTAAAGAGAGCGATCGCACGGTTTTCATAGGTATGTTGATAGATGACTTTGTTTTGTTGCTTAGGCGATGTGTCAATAACAATTAACAATTTCATCAATGTCACATTTAGGTGGGTAGGTACTTATCCTTTTATCAATCAATCCAGCTATCCACCGAAACCGAAAGCATCAGGTAAGTTATATTTGTTGATAATATGATTATTTTCTATTGATAATCCTCAATTTCAGTTGTAAAAAATGATATCAAGCGATGACGATGAGCAGATTATTTCTACACCACCAGAAATGTTGGAAAAAGCTAGAATGGCAAAAAATGAATTGCTACCCGCTAAGTCTCGTGAATTATACGAAATAGCACATCAAAAATTCCTGGACTGGAGAATTAGAAATATAACGTGCCATTTTCGGAAAAATCCTTTTAGTATATTTTCAAGAATAATCAAATTCGATGAAATCATCATCACTCTGGTCGATATATTCCATGTTACGATCAACACTAAATATCAATCACAATATTAATATAGTAACATATCCCATTTTCTCAAAAGGGAAGGATGGATTCCGAAGTGAAAAATCAAAAATACTTAATGCTGAATAGATCAATTATTTTCTGCAGAATGCTCCTGTTGAAGGTAATTTTTCAAATAACATGCATCGTCAACATTGAATTAATTCAATTAATGAATTCCTTTTTCTTTAAATAACAGGAATAATTAAAAAAGATCAATCTTCGAAATTATATTGATAAAATATCTACTTATACGGAGAAATGGTGGTAACTCAGTTGTTCTAAGCGCTGGCTCCGAACCCAAAGATGGGTGGATCAGAGCGCAGTTGGAGAACTGTTTTTTTATTATTTTTAATAACGATTACAGAATTTCTCGTGCTGCACTGTTACAAATATATAACCATTATGAATGTTAATTTTATATTTTTATACAATGTGTTTTTTGCTACCTATTAATAAAGCTGTTTAGATATGAAAAACGGTTCCATTTCAGTTCGAATTGAGGAAAATGTCTCGGTATGCAATGTATCAATAAACAATCTTGAGAATTGTGGTTTGTAACTTTTCATGCAGCTGGTTTAGTGACGGTAGACGTTTCATATTGGTATTCGTTATATGTGCCTTAATACAATAGCTGCACTATCCGGAAGAATATAGTGTAGTCGTAGAAAAAGTATAGTACAATTCTCGAGTTGTAAAGCAATTACGCACTTGTGGAGTTACACACTCGCCGCTATGCGGCATCGTGTATGCGTTTTACAACTCTTGTTATGTAATATACTATTACCTACGGCCACTATAGAAAGTAGGCAAGAACACATAAAATACAGCCTCAGTAAGTAGCTCTTTACGCATAGTAAGCACATCGCACAGTTTTCGTTAATTCCGCCAGTATAGGTATTTCATGATCGCGTAATCGTCGTCAACAGCGGATGACATAACTGTCAAGAATTATAATTCAAACTGTTTGTCCAAACTTTGTTGATGTACTTTATTGCAGTAGGTAAAGTATAGCATGTAATGCGTGTTGTAAAGCAATTACGCACTCATGGAATTACGCACTCGCCGATCCGCGGCTACGTACGTAACTTTTCCATTCGTGCGTAATATGTTTCTTACAACATATATTGGTCCGGGATTGGTGCAGTGGAAGAGCCTCCGCCTCACGACCGCAAGGTTGTGGGTTTGATTCCCAGCACGAGCAAGCAACTTTTTTCAATATTTAATTTACGAATTGAATATTGTTAAGGTTCGGAGCATCGGCTGGGAATAGTCCTGCACGATTCCGCTGTTGCGTTCCAATTAACAGTGCTACTCCTAAAGTGGTACATGGAGTTAGTAACAAAGCCTACACAGACCACGCAGAAAGATATAATGATGTGGTTGTGAGTATCAGCGAAGAAGTAGGACGGTGTATGTAGGTGGGTGTGGAAAACTACCAGCTGAGCGTGAGAGCGGGCCAGCTGCTTAGTGGACCTCGGTCTCTAACGGGGGTTAACGAAAATAGCTAGCAGGCCTGTCACCGCAGCATATGGTAGTGAGTACATTACTAGCCTACAAAAACAAAGCCGGAAAACTCTGAATGAGAGCTGATGGGCGGTGCCTGAAAAGGATGCTAGCCAGAGCTAACGACATCAGTCATTGAAAACACCTTGGGGCTTGCAAAAAGGTCCCATTAGGGACTAGTTGCTGACGTGCAAACGTCCCCCATCAGTACCAGCTAGTAGTACAAGACATATTACGTAATATACTATATAGTCTGATACTTATGTAAATTATTTATAGTAAACCATCGAATTCCCGTCCTTAGTCACAACGTTTGACGATATTTCCAAGAATGAAATAATTTTAATAACTTCCAGAAAACCCTGTTCGCTATGCCCTTGAATCTCAGTGATTGCTTTGTTCTCAGAAAAGTTAGGTAACAAAAAAAAAGTTCAGAAGGTACACAAGGAGAATCTTCCAGAACGATTTCACATAATCGAGCATGCAAGTCTTTCGTCTTTCACTCGTTTGTTCAAAACATCCCTCTTGCATACTTCATGACCCACCCCAGTTTCGCAAAGTTCCCAGCCTGCGGCGTCCACGGCGTCTATTATGCACGTCGCCGCGGGAACAGCCGTCTCGCCAGGGGCGGACTGGCTCTTTGTGCGTGGCGCGATTCGATGGGCCCCAGGCAGTCGCCATGGAAACTAGAGCGAAACTCTTTTGCCTCTATTTCTGTGGCGAAGTACCTACGGCACACTCTACAGGGTGATTGATTTTCAATTTGAATTCATGGCGTCATCAGCGTAAAGAACACTTATTTTGAAAATGAATACAAAAAGCTCAAAGTCACATCCACACAATGTTCATGAAATGAACAACAATGAGAGATTTCGAGAGAAAAACAACTACTTTGCTGGCTAATGCCACGCAGAGCATTGAATTACATCCTCCTGAAATCTATGCATCGACTGGTATAAACGAATATTGATACAAGTGATTCTTTCCTGAATGCGTATTGATTTTGATTCAGACAGGCCACTCTAGGGCAGTCTCCAACCAGCAGTCCTAGCCATAGAGAAATGAATAGAAAAGAGAGTTGTCAAACCTGCAGTAAAAGTTGGCACCACGTTTAGAGCGACACACTTGGCAACTGGGTGGAACTAGTTATTTTGATCGATAAAACAGATTCGCTAGTTACCGATAGAGATAAGGCGGTTTATTTGAAACCTTTACTTTCAAAATTTGTGTTTATCAGGAAAATTACAACAAAAATATTTTATTCCATCCAAGACTAGAGGACTACATATTATGAAACAATAAGTAAATAAAACTCTGAAAAAAAAACAAAATAAGATATAAACTCTTCAGCCTAATAATGACTAGACATACAAAAAAAACAAAAATGATAAAAATTAATGAAAGCTATAAATAAATGAATAACTAACTCTGAAAAAAAACTGTCCTGCTACATAATTATGTGGCCTGGGTGTCAAATTCTGAGTCAGAAAACACAATATCGAAATTTGGAATAACCAATTCATTCAACTCATTGACAAGAACTGATGATAGCTCTGGCTCCACTGGGCAAGTTAAAAATGAGTCGAGATTATCCGATATGGTACTCACATCGTCTTCACAATTTTTATTGGCATTTTCAGGTATTATCAAGCTATTCAACACTTGCTTGCACACTTGTATTTATATGCACCGGGGCCTGACATCTCACCACACTTTTACATCTGTGATATTCTTTCAAACTGGAATATTACATAAAACTGAAATCAATTAACATGCGTTCTTTCGAAATACCTACTTCAATTCGATGAAATG